TCCACCCCCAGGCCAGTGAAGTGCACACGGACAGAACCCACCTTTTGCTGTTGGAGGAACTAAGGTTTGCAGCATCGTGGTGCTTGTCCAGGACGCACAGCCGCGAGGGGCACAGGGACCATGTGACCCACAGCAGCCTCCAGACCACACTAAGCCCCTGCTTCCCTGGGTTAACCCCTGAAATGCACAGGGCGGGATGGGGGTGGTCTAGAACCTGCCTGGCCTCAGCAGCACCCAGGCCTTGGTCCTAGACACCAGAGATCTCTTTGCCTCCGAGCGGAAGCTGCGCACCCCACGCTGCAGCCCTGGAGTCGCCGTGCAGTGTAATTGAAATTCATGGACAAGCCTGAGTAGCCGGCTCCAGGCTCAGTAATAACTTCTCCATATTAATGGCAGCACCGCAGACCCAGTGGACAGCTGACATTTAATATGAAACATATGCAGCAGAGTGAGCAGCTCCTACCTGGATCCTCCCATCCCCAGGGTGCCCACCAGGAGGGGATGGGGGCATCTAAGGTGGCACCAAGATTGAGGGAACTGGGGTCTTCTTCTCCCTTCAGTATCTCTACCCCACTTTAGGCCCCTCTTCTGCAGGATGCAGAAAACCCCTCCCGAAGAAATACATAAACACGTGCTGGCCCGTGCTCACTCAAATGAACGCACTCCCATGCAGACACACTCATGTGCACACAGTCACACGTCCACACTCACTCAGACATGCACGCACACATGCACCCGACACACACTGTGTGCACACAGTCACACGTCCACACTCACTCAGACATGCACGCACACATGCACCCCCCACACACACACTGTGTGCACACAGTCACACATCCACACTCATTCAGACATGCACGCACACATGCACCCACACACACACTGTGTGCACACAGTCACATGTCTACACTCACTCAGACATGCACGCACACATGCACCCCCACACACACTGTATGCACACAGTCACATGTCCACACTCATTCAGACATGCACGCACACATGCATCCCCCCATACACACTGTGTGCACACACTCCTACATGCAAGATAGGCACAGGCAGCATGCACAAGCATACACTCCCACACACTCCCTCCACGCACAGGCCGGGAACACGCACACACTCCCACATGCCATCTCTACGCACAGGCCAGGATCACACACACACTCCCACACACCCCTCCAGGCACAGGTCAGGAACACGCACACACTCCCACACACCCCTGCACGCACAGGTCAAGAACACACACACACTCCCACACACCCCTGCACGCACAGGCCAGGAACACACACGCACTCCCACACACCCCTGCATGCACAGGCCAGGAACACGCACACACTCCCACACACCCCCTCCACGCACAGGTCAGGAACACGCACACACTCCCACACACCCCTGCACGCACAGGCCAGGAACACGCACACACTCCCACACACCCCTGCCACGCACAGGTCAGGAACACGCACACACTCCCACATACCCCCTCCACGCACAGGTCAGGCACATGCAGACACTCCCACACACCCCTCCACACACAGGCCAGGAACACGCACACACCTCTCCACAAACAGGCCAGGAACACGCACACACCCCTCCACAAACAGGCCAGGAACACGCACACACTCCCACACCCCCTCCACAAACAGGCCAGGAACACACACACACTCCCACACGCCCTCTCCACGCACAGGTCAGGAACACGTACACACTCCCACACACCCCCTCCACGAACAGGTCAGGAACACGCACACACTCCCACACACCCCTGCACGCACAGGCCAGGAACACGCAGACACTCCCACACACCCCTCCACGCACAGGTCAGGAACATGCACACACTTCCACACACCCCCTCCACGCACAGGCCAGGAACACGCACACACTCCCACACACTCTGACACGCACAGGTCACACACACACGTTCACATGCAGCCAGCAGCCTGCTGTTCTGGAAGCAACACGGGGACCCCCAGGACTGCCCAAGCCAGAGAGGGAGGTGGGGATAAGGAAGAGCATGTCTACCTGCCAGCAGAGACCCGAGGTCCCAGGAGGTGCGCCAGGCACCCTTGCACCTGTGGGTCTTCAAAAACTGGCCTTGAATGTCAGGCCAGTGGTTTGGATTGTTTTAAGAGCAGTGAGAACCACAGCTGAGGCTGCCACGAAGCAAAGCTGGCCTCGCTGCTGAGCGGATGCTCCTGGCCCTGGGGCTCACAGCAGATGAGTCCCTGGCCGGTTCCCTTGGCCCTGTGAGCCTCACAGCTGGCCTGGGTGAGGCCCCGGCCTTCACCTCCCAGCTGACTGCAGGAGCGCGGCATTCACTCAGGCATGACTCGCTCAGTGCTGGAGACACAGGGGACGGGGAAGCCACAGCGAGCCATCGGGCAGGAGAAGCCTGCCACAGCTGAGTGAGCACTTGGCTGCGTGCAGTGACCAGTGCCAGAAACGCGCCCAGCCACACCACAGAGTGCAGGCCGGGGCTGGGCCACACAGTGCGGGGGCCCAGGAAGAGCCGGCCTCCCTGGGCTCCAGCTGAGACCAGTACTGACTCTACCGGCCTTCAGGAGGGGCTGGGGGCCGGCTCCACTCTGCCTCTCCCTCAAGGATTCCAGGGGAGAGGCCAGCCCACACAGAGAGAACCCCGCATATGTACTCCTAGAGCCTCAGTTTCCTACCTGTGAAATGGGGCCACAGTGGCTGGCTCCCAGGAAGACTGCAGGGGCTGGGTTCAAAGCCCCAGGTGGAGGTAGATGGTGTGGGTGCTGCTCCTCGGACCCCCTTCTGAGGCTGACCGCCACCTCCAGAGGGACTGCGCTGCCCTGCTGGGTGCCTCCGGCATCTCCTTAGGGGCCCTCAGCTCAGGTAAGGCGGAGGGGGAAGGAGCCACTACCCGCCCCTCACCGCTCCCAGGGGCACCTGAGGAGGATGCTGGAGTTCTGCCCCCTGCAGCCCTTGCTCCCAGAGCCTCATTCCAGACCAGCGGAGCATGTGACACAGGTCGGAGCTGGAGGGCCCTGGCCAGGTCACAGGGGCCTTGAATGTCAGGCCAGTGGGTTTGGATTTTTTTAAGAGCAATAAGAACCACTGAGAGGTCTTAAGTGAAAGCATAACATGAGTTCCTGCATGGTTTATAAAAGCCCCTCTGGCTGCAGCTTGGAGAAGGGTTGTCGGGGAGAGACCAGGGAGCCCTGGGGGGCTTGGGAGCAGAGGCAGGGCTTGGCACCAGGTATGGAGGGCAGCCGGGGCCTGACAGCTCTAGGATTGAAACTGGCTAGAGGAGGGTGACCCTCAAAAGATGGGGTCTGGAGGAGAGTGGGGAGACCCATGTGACTTGAGAAGGATGGTGTCATCGAGGGAAGGGGTTCCAGAGGCAGCCGAGCAGGCAAGCCTGGAGCCAGGACTGCCGAGCCCAACATGGGGTCCGGAGTCCAGGGACAGGGTGGCGACACCCGTTTTCACCATCCCGCGCGACTGTCCTCCTGCTTTCTCAAACGACAGGCCCCTCTCCATCCTAAAGTTTGGGAGGCCGTCCTTCCCCCAGTCCCAAAGGTGGGCAGGAGACTTGGGCTAGGCCTGGGTTTGAAGACGGGCCGCAGATCCCTCCCCCAACTCTCACAGGTGTCACCCGGAGAGGAGGACCTTCCATTTCGGAGGGTTGCTTCCTTGGAAAACAAGTTGAGCTTGGAGCCGCTGGTGGCCCCATGCGGTGGGCTGGGGTTGAGGCATGGAGAGCAGTTCTGACATGAATGCGGAGTGGCAGGGCTGAGAGCCGGATGGCATGCTCTGAGCCTCGGGATTCAGCCACGCCTGAGGCCGACACTCCCCAGGACCCCCAGATAATAGGCCCATGGTGTTCCTTGTTTGTTTCATCCACTATGAGCAGGGGTTTCTGTCACGTAAACAAAGAAGGTGACAAGTTTGGCAGAGGCTGAGAGTGGCCTTAGCATCTGTGTAGGCTGCTTGCAGCTGGGGCCCACGGGGGCCTCTGCTCCTCCCTGGGGAACCCCAACACCCTAGAGAACCCAGAGGTTCCTGCAGCCCCTCTTTGATCTTCCTGACAACCTCTCATTGCAATCCAGGTAGTGCCGAGAAGAGGTGGGAGGAAGGGAGACCCTACCACAGGCGGCTGCAAGTCCCAGGTGCCCCTGTCCTGCCCTGCACAGTCCGAGGCCCCTGCCAACCCCACACCTGCCTGATCTGCTCTAGCCCCTGAGCCTGCTGGAGCCCAGTGTGTGGCCTCAAAGGCAGCAGCCTTACTGGGGAAAATGAAGCTCATCTGGATCCCTTAGGCCAGCCTCTGACTTCTCTCTGTGGCCTTTATGACTCGTAATGTCCAGCAAGACAGAGTGGGTACCTGGCTCGGACAGCAGCCCCACAGGGGAGCTCCAGCCTGAAAGGCAGCAGCCTTGGCTTCCTTCTTGCCAAAGGACCTTGGATGTCTCTGAGCCTCAACCACAAAATGGGACAGCTCTAACTCATAGGGTTGTGGGGCTTGAATCAAGCCCCCGGGAAGGGCATACACTTCCTCCTTCGGGCCCCAGGATTGGACCAGGACTGGGAGGGCAGACGGTCTCCACCACCCAGCCCTTGGAGGCTTTCTCCACTGGCCCTGCCCAGCCAGGCGGGAGAGGACCCCTGTGCTGCCCTGAATGGGAGGCAGAGGCGGGCAGGGTTGCTTCCATCCTACAAAAGTCCCAGCTGCAGTCCCCCACCAGTGAGGATGTAGGCCACCCATAGGAGCTGCAGCCCAGCGCAGGTCACCAGCCACTCAAGGGCCACTTAGCTCCCAGGCCGGCTCTCGGCTGGACTCAGGCTGATGGCGCTCAAACGTTCAATGAGAATGTCTCCAGGGGTCAAATAAGACAGGTAGGAAATGTTTTAAAGAAACGTACTTTAAAAATTCTTTTTGTAGGTATGCAGAAAAAGGCAATAAAACGTAGTGAGGATGGCTTCAGAATCAGACAGAATGTGTTCAAATGCTGGTTCTGAAGCTTGAAGCAAGCTAGCTCAACCTTCGGAGCCTCAGTTTATTCATCTGCAGAGGGGGATGATTTCGGGACATATTCCATGTGGTGCTGTGAGGATTAAACAAGGCAATGTGGCATGAGGGCTCAGCAGAGAGCCTGGCACATAACATTAATAGGAACATGGTCGATTGTCACTTATCATTATTACCTTTTACGCCAAAAGGCTCCTCACTGGGTATTTAATGAGCCTGTAAAAATCATGTGAAATCAGCACACCTACCATGCGACTTGAGAGATACTACAAAACTCTTCTGCAGCAACGTGATGTACAAGAACACTTGGTTCCGCATTTTTGGCTCATGCCTTGTGCAGAGGTACCTTTGAATCCCTCGATGTGGATATTACAAATAACTTCTGTCCAGACACGCCGCCTCACAGAGCCTGAGTGTTCCACCTGTAACCGGGGATGAAGATGCCTCCCCGGCAGGGGCAGTGTGAGGACCACAGGCGCCCTGGGTAAAGCCCCAGGTCCTTAGCAAAGAAGCCTATCATCATAGCACAGGGGGATTTAAAAGCAGGGCAGACACATACACAACAACAACAGCAACAACAACAACAACAAGAAAATAAAAGGAAAAAGAAAGTAAGAAAAGAAAACCAGAAGAGCCAATGGAATGGTGCTGCCCCGCTGTCCGGGGCCGTTACGCACGGGCAGCATTCAAGGCCGTTCAGGGAGGTGCAGCCCCTTTTCCAACCCCAATATCCTTCCCAGCTCTGTCTGGTACACGGGACACCTCAGCGGGCCTGTCCTGCCCTGGCTAATTCACACCTGATACCTCTGCACACGCTCCTCTCTCTGCCCAGGTTGCCAACCGGCCCCTTTTCCAGCTGGCCTCTCATTCATCCAGCCCCCCAGGAGCACACTCTGCAAGTTCTGGCCAGAGCTCTGTCAGCCACCCTGAGGACGGGAGACCCTGGTGGGTCCCAAACCCGCCTCATCGCTGACCGGTACAAGGAATAAACACGTGAGAAGGTGCCGGCCGAAGAAATGAATCACCAAATGAGCTGCTGAATGAATGAAACAGGGACATGTCCTCACCAAAACATTCTCCATCAGGAATTCACAGTACACAGATGTCAGCCCACCGACAGACTGCATTCCCATGTCAACTCCCTCCGCCTCACCTCGTCCTAAGTCGGCAGCAAGCATCTCCTTTCATGTAGGAAATTCACCTCCATTGTAAAACGGGACACACCTCCGAGGCCCAGGACGTCCTCGGAGACAGTGGGCGACGTAAAGGGCTTGCCGCTTTAACCCAATTGCTCCAGGGATATTTACAGTTGTTTGCAATACGCCCAGGCTCTGACTAAATCCAGCCAAAGGCAGTGATTTTCCGAAGCAACAAGTGACACTTTGTGTCTCCATAAAAAGAATGGCAGCGGTTGTGGGGCCCTGGTGTAATTGCCGGCTCTGCAGAATGTAGGATGAGCCTGAGCGCCTGAGTAGGGGTGTGCTCAGGGCCCACAGGGCTGGGGGAGTGGCCACTCACTCGGGGCAGGAGTGCCCTGAGCAGCAATCAGAGCGGAGCCCACGGTGGGCGGCTTCAGATGTCTGGCCAGCACAGCCAGCCTGACCACCACACACCCAGTCCAAAATAGAAAACTGCAGTGGCTTCTGCTGTGTGCCAGTCCCCAGGCAGCCGGACAGAGCACCGCCAATGTCAGCCTCCTCCCTCAGCATCGATCCAGGCTTCCTCTGAGGCCCCCTTGTGCTGAGCCACGGTCCCTCCTGCCCTCTCCAGGAAGCAGAGCTTTCCAGAGCTCCAGTCACAGGACAGAGAGGACCAGGCAGTCCCAAAAGGGACCCCCTAGCTTCTCTGTTGTCCTTCAGGGGCTGCCCCCAAAAGATTGAGCAGCTCCTGGGCACTAGAGCCTTCATTTCCAAATGCACCCCTCAGCTCAAAATAGAGAAAACCAACTTTTCAAATGACCAGCTGGAGTTTAACAGGAAACCACAGCAGAAAAACCAGTGGTTTCCAGTCAGCCAAGGGGCAGAAGGCTAACCGGGCATTTCAGCACCACTGCCTGCTTCCTGGGCTGGCATCACCTGCACACAAGGGAACAGGAAGACTGACTGCCAGTCTGTAAGTCCACCACACATACATCATGCATGCCAATATCCACAAGGACAGACGTGCACTCAGCAGATGCCCAACCCATGTATGTGCAGAAACCCAGACACATGCACCCGAGACAGTGGCACACACACACACGTTCACACAGGTGCACAGGCAACCAGATGCAGGCACACACTAACGTTCCAGAACGCATGTGCACACACTCACACAGGTACACACACATACACACACGTACACACACACACCCTTGGATACACGCCAGAGACCTGTGCAGACAGGCAAAAGAGAGATTTGCCGCTGCTGCCTGCTGAGCCTTTTGGAGACCCGGGCCCTCCCCTTGTATAAATGGCCCCATGCTCAGACCAATCCAAACAACCTGTCTTCCAGCCAACCCCTTCAATGGGAGCAGGAGGCTCCCTAAAGCGCGGGGAGGGCAGAGAAAGTCCTCGGCGCAGGCCTCCCCCTCCCAAGGGGCTCCCAGGTAACCCTTTTCCAAATCCCAGGCGAGAGCAGCGGAGAGAAACGAGCCAGGGAAGTGCGGACTCACCAGCCCATCGCAGTTGCTGAGCGCCACAGAGGAGGCTTCGGCTAGGCCGGCCACGTCCCCGACGTAGAGGCAGCTCCCGAGCAGGGGCTCCACGCGGGTGGTGCCCGTCTCGCCCTGCCACTCCAGAGTGGCCCCGGGCGCCACGAGGCGGTGGTTGGGCCGCAGCCGCAGGTGCAAGTCTCGGCCGAAGACAGTGACATTGTAGAAGAGGTGGTTGCCAGGGTCCTCCTCGCTGCCTCCGGTGAAGCTCGGGATCCGGACCGGGGCGGCCCTGCGGGCTCGTACCCCTGCCCCGGCTGTAGCTGCCGACACCACGTGGGACACCAAGCGGCCCTGGGCGTCAGTGCGCACGGGCACCGCCAGGATGCGCTCGGCTCCGTGCCCCAGGGACCTGCCTGCAACGGGAAGGGGCGTAAGATCGGCGGAGCCCCAGAGCCCCAGAGCCCCAGAGCCCCAGAGCCCCAGAGCCCCGCCGGCAAGCCACGCCCCCCAGACCCCGCCCCACTGCGAGGGGAAAGGGCATTCCGCCAGGCGACCCCAGAAACCGGCCTGCACCTCCCCGGCTTTCCTGCAACCGGGAAGGGGCGTTAACAGGGCCACCATTCCAGGGCTCCGCCACCCCCAAGCCGAGGACCCTGCCTGCCCAGAGCTCTGCTCCCTGCCCTGTTCCTGATTGGGGCTCGGTGGGAACCTCCCTGTCCCCGAAGGGACGACCCCGTCAGACAGTCGCTCGACCCTTGAACCTACAGTCCTTGGGAGGACGCGGGGCTGCTCGGAAGCCATTCCAGGTTGGCCCCCTTACGCGGGCGCCACGACCCCTCGGCGGCCCCTGCCGCCGGACTGCTGTCACCGCTGGCCTCCGGAACGGCGGAGACTCGGCTTCCCCGAGCACCGGCGGCCTGTCCTGTCTGTCCAGCTCCCGCTCAGCCCGCTGCCGTCCGCCTCTCTCCTGGCGCCCGAGGACAGGGAGGGGTGGAACAGGGTCCCTCCGATCGCCGGGGATCCCCTCCGGGCGCCCCAACCAATCCTCAGGGCCCAAGGCGACGCGCTGGGCAGCCGGCTCCTCCCGAGCGTCCCCGGACGCGAGTCCAGGCGCCGCCTCACCCTGGCTCCCCCGGACCCGCTGGGGCTGACTCTGCGCCCTCCGCCGCTGGGCTTTCCCGGCCCTCCGTCTGCACCCTCAGCGACCCGCGAGCCGCCAGTGCTCCGAGCCAACCCCCGGCCCAAGGCGCTCTGGTGCGCCGCGGGGCGCCCCCTGCGCGACCAACCCGGCCCCGAAGTTAGCCAACTTGGCCTCGGGCGGGGCGCGCGGAGTTTGCCCAAGTCAGGCTGGACGACGCCTGGGGAGGGGGCGGCGGGGCACGCGGGACGGGGCCCGGCAGGCGGGGCACGCGGGACGTGGGGGCCCGGCGGCACCTACCTGGGGGGTCGGCGGCGGCGGCGAGCCTGGCGTTCGCGGGCGGCGGCGGCAGCAGGAGCGGCGGCAGCAGGAGCAGCAGCAGCGCCGGGCAGAGCAGGCGGCGAGCGGCTCCCGCCGGCGGATCCATGGCAGCCGGACTGCAGCCGGGGCCCCGCACTCCCAGCCGGCGCGAAAGTTCCCCGCGCGCCGCCCAGCCCACATCTGGGGGCAGCTGGAGCCGCCCGCAGCTGCAGCACCGCAGGGCGCGGGGCGGAGGAGGCGAGGCGCGGAGGGGAGGGCGGAGGAGCGCGGAGGGAAGGCGGGGAGAGGGAAGGAGCGAGCGAGCGAGGGAGGGAGGCGGGCGGGAGGGAGGCGGGCGAGGGGGAGGGCGGGGACGGCGGGCGCCTCAGCCTGCGGTGACCCGGCGCTTCTTGGCGCGGCCGCCGCCGCCGCCGCCCGCTTTCCTCTTCGCGCCGCCGCCGCCGCGGTGCCGGGCTCGCAGCGAAGCAGAGACACCCCGAGGCGGCGGCGGAGAAGTGCCACGGGCCGGGCCGGGGGGAGCCCCGCCGCCAGCCACCCCAGGCGCACGACCTCCCGGAGCTGCGCCGGCCGAACGTCTCCACCTGGAGAGTCCTCGGGTGCCGGGTCCCACGCATCAGTGGGAATCAAAGGATGCATCCCCCTCTCCCTGTGCCCTGGGGCAGGACAGGGTGCAGGAAGGAAAGGGGAGGGGGGACTGAGTCCTGGGTCCCAGGGGCTGAGCCAGGCCTGATGCCCAGATGGAGGCCACAAAGGCCAGAAGATGCTGTTAGGAGGGTACACCCAGGCTGCGACCCCAAAGATCCACTTTTGCCCTGACTGAGACAGGCAGGATTCCCTCAACCCCTCCGCTGCAGCCTCAGCACAGCGTCTTCCTGCCAGACCTGGGCTCTCTGCCCGTGAGCACAGTCAGGCTCCTGCCTTCACCTGTCCTCAACCCCACGTCCGCATTCTGTCCTCCCACCATTGACTCCCAGCCCCCAACCTGAGATGGCCTCTCCAAGGTCTGCCTACCTTTTCCACTCGAGCATCCAAGGGCACCTCGGTTCATCCTGGAGCCAGTTTGCTGTTGGAGGCCATTGTCATCCGGAACCTGTCCCCTATCTCTCCTGCCCAGCAAGGCCCTGATCCTTCCATGCTGCTTGCGCTCAGCGGCCTCTCCCCAGGGCCCGCCTGGGAGCCTCCTTTCAGGCTGTTGGACATCTCGGCTCTGGGACCCCCAATTTCTGCCTCACTTCCCCAGAGGGCGAACACCGGCCCCTTTGATCTCATTCACCCCAGGCCTCTGTGGCTAGGCCTTTGGCCTTTGCCTTGGCCGGGGGCAGGCGACCCAGAGACGACTCAGGCCTCTCCCTGCTGGCCAGGAGGTCCCAGTCACAGGGGGAAACGTGGCTTATACAGCAGGCTCTAACTGTGAGCTCACGTTCTTTCACTTCTGGGGCCTGGGTGTGAGGGCATGGCAGCTGAACAGCCATCTTCACCTGCAAGCTGGGCTCTTTCGGTGTCACTAACGGAGCCTGAGGCGGGATCCAGGCCCCAGGCATGCTGAGATGTCCCTTGGAAATTTAGACTGGTAACTTTTCTTGAGAAATTGGAAGATGCGGCCACGCTAGACCCACACTCCTGCTTAACAGCCGTTCGATGGGACACTTACCTTGCGGTTAGTGGCAGGTCCCTCCTCTCCTCACTCCCTAGAGGCATCTGCTCTTGTGACCTCTGATGACCCAGCTGGTTGGCTCCAGAGAACATTGGAACTGGAATCCTCGTGTATCACAAGAGAGATGATGCCAGAACTGGAAATCCAGGAGGACTTCCCATAAGAGGTGGCATGAGTTGAATCAGGAAGGGTGGGGGAGCCAGCCCAGAGTTGGGTCCAGGAGCTGTCCTAGAACCCATGACACATTCCTCCAGTGGTTCTCATTGCTTCCATCCTCTTCAAACCATGAGTGAAACTCAACCAGCAGCCTCCCCTACTTCAAGGGTCATGTTCTATACCTTCCTGCTGTATTTATGGTTGGGTATTTCTTTATGCAGCGCCTAAAATTTTACTTAAATTTTAAAAGGATACTTTAAATCACTGCCATAAATGGAAAAGCCAGCATCTCGCCATCTTGCCATAAATCAAAGACAGCTGCTAAAAATAAATACAACAAGAAGAAAAATGTTATCAGTTCTAGATACTTCGACCTGCAAAAGGCACCAAAGGCTGAAGCTGATTAGCGAGTGTTACAAAAGCCTTAAGATAGACTAGCACAGAGATCATTTCTTTGATGTGGTCTGAAGGATGACAGGAGACCTGGAAAGGACCAGCTCTGACTTCGTGAGTCCATGGCATCTTCTAACAGGTTCACGCAGCTAAATTCTATTGTATACTTCGGGATACTTGCTCTAGGATGTTTTTTGGAAAAAGAGTTTGTCTCCTGGACACTGACTAACCCCTGATAGCTGTTTCTTCCCACATCACCCGTGCCCCTGCCACCAGGGATGATGTTGGGGACAGAGCAGCACCCTTGCCCGGGCCATCCTTTAGTACCTCCAGTGCCACCCACCAGGCTGGCGGATAAACGAGGCTCACACACATCTAACTTCACAGTAAACCCTCAGGGAGGTGGCGGGGACTTGCAGACACATCCCAGCTTCACGATCACTTGTCTTCCACTCAAAAACAAGACAGAAAAAAACAAAAACAAAACAACGAACCGAAGAACAACAATCTTCCTGCTTCTTCAAACCTGCATGATTCAGCTCTTGCCTCTCCCCGTCTACTGCTGTGTGCCCTTCTCTGGTGCCCCTTTTCCTCTTCTGGGTAACATACGGGACACGGAAATCCCAGCGGCTCGCTGCTCCTCTGCTTGTTCAGTCCAGAGCCCAAAGACAAAAACCAAGGGCCACCGGGCCAGTGCCGCTGGATGCGTTCAGTGCGTGCCGCGTGCGTTAGTTTCTACTGGAGCCTGAACGTCTTCAGGTCTGGCTGTGCTCTCCAGCCTGCTGCAGCCCTCCCCACTCTCTGTTGCCCTGCCCCTGCCTGTTGCTCATGATTGTCAGTAGCCTGTTCCCTGAAGGCCTGCAACTGTCACCCTCATCAAGAAGCCCAGTGATTGTGGGGAGGAGTGAGGATAATTCAGGGTCAGCTCAGGCCTGACACACCAAACGCCCTTAAAACCTGTGAAGAGCAGAAAGAGATGGGACCTTTCAAATCCTCTTGGGTGCCACAAGTCACCCCACATCCCTGGCAGAAGGAACATTAAGGAAGAGGAATGTTTTCCAGTGCCCACTGCCACCTGCCTCAGTGGGTGGGTGCCTTGCATTGCCCTGAAAGGGGGGTCGGGCTGCCTGGTCTGGCTCACTGCCTCAGTGGGTGGGTGCCCTGCATTGCCCTGAAAGGGGGGTCGGGCTGCCTGGTCTGGCTCACTGCCTCAGTGGGTGGGTGCCCTGCATTGCCCTAAAAAGGGGGTCGGGCTGCCTGGTCTGGCTCAGACTGCCAGGTCACGTTTGTCAGTACAGACCTCATTCAAGACAGAACGCTACTTGAGAGCCACTGCTGTCCCCCAATGTCCACACAGAAACCAACCCCCAAGAAGGTCATATGCTTTTTGACAAAGTCTTCTTCCTTGGCACGACCTGCCAAGCAGATGGAGGCAGTGAGGTTTCCCCGCCCTCCCTAAGGACAAGCAAGCTCCTAGAGCTGTGGGAAAGGAGCGAGACTCTTCCAGTCTCACTGGCCACATCAAAGAGCAGACCAAGGATGAGGGGCTAGTGACCTTGCCGAGGGGCCTTGAAAGCAGCAACTCTGTCCAACTTTGCTGTTGGCAAAAGGCGGGTACCGTGGTCTCATCTGACTCTCTGGTGGAGTTCTGGCCAGAAGTGGCCCTGCTGAGCAATATCTCAAGGGAACGCTGATTGAACAGAATGTGGGGGCCGGGTGGCCTCCAGAAAGCGTGATTCTTGCTGTTTCTCAGGCACATCCCTTCCCCCCACCATGTACACACTTTAACGGGGAGCTGTGTCCAGCAAAAGAGGAGAGTGGGTGGTGTTTCGGTAGCAATTGTTTTTACTGCCATTGTACCACGGAGGCGTCCCATCGCCATTGAGGTAGATTCTGCCTGGAAGTGAAAGAGAGCGTGCTTGAGGTTTGGAGGCTTGGGGATCAGGGCTCAGTTAACACTTCTACATGGAGATGCAAGATGGAGACTCGGATAAGCACTAATGACCCAGGGAAGGATGTAGCTGAATGTCTATTTGTGACTGTCTGCTTGCACATATATATACTCAACCTAGCAGAGGGAACAGAGAAAAACTTTAAAGGGGCTATCTGGGTGTGTCAGGCAGTGACACTACTTGAGCTGGGGTCTAAATCTCTGGGTTCACCTGTGTCTTGCCCCAGTCAGGGGTTAGGGGGCCATTTTGTCCGGCCCCCTTATCTGAGAAAGGCCTTTGGGTCCATCAGGATGCTCCTTGCCGCAGGTAACACAGCCAGCTTAAATCACAAGAAAATGCCCAGGCCCTGCTAGAGCCCCAGGATCCCTGGCCTCTGGGACTTCATTCCGTGTAGGTCACCGTCTGTGTCAGCGTCCTTCCATCCAGTCCAACCTGACCCTGCCCAGTTCACAGGATCAAGGATGTGCGCCTTAAAGACACCAGAGCTCCTGGCTGGGGTTTCAGGGCTACGGTGCCCACAGTGAAGCCCTGAGACCCTGATGGGAGGAGAACTCTGGGTGCAGGGCTGGGGGGCTCCGGCCATCTCTGCAGCCTTGGGGACCCCACTTCTCCTCCAGGAAGGAGAAGGGTCCCTCCTCTCGCTGGTAAGAATGTCCTTCTTAGCTGCTCCTTCCGGCAGCTCCAAGGAGTCCTCCTTCCTCTGCAGAAGCACTGAGGCTGGACACAAATCCCAGCACTCTTCAAGTGGGGCTCCGGAGGAACTGGCCACCTTCACTTCCTGAAGAATGGTGTTCCCTTCCTCTGAAGTTCCAAGAAAAAAAGAAAGAAACAAAGAAAAGATAAGCTTGTATCCTTTTGGTGACTTTCTAAAAGTTCGCTGGGTTTTTAAAAATTAATTAAGTCGTCCCTGTGGCCAGTGTTTCTGCAGCTCTCTACGGGTCTGGCTCTGGGCCACCCCTCAGGAGGAGAAGCCTTTTCTCTTCACACCAACCCAAGGCCACTCCTTAGGGCCCGTCCCTGACCCCTCTGCTTCCTGGGCAATCTCATCCTTTCTCACAGGCTGGAGAGCTTGGGTGTGATGACTGCCCACCTGCCAGTTCAC